AAACATTCTAGTTTATATTGCAATATGTTCACTTTTTGGTTCATTAACAGTTTCTGCTTGTAAAGGGTTAGGCATAGCTATAAAAGAAACCCTGGCACATAACAGTCAAGTTTCTAACCCAATTGCTTGGATGTTGCTCATTGGTGGAGCTTTATGCATTATGGTTCAAATGAATTTTCTTAATAAAGCATTAGATATATTCAACACTTCAATTGTATCACCTATTTATTATGTAATGTTTACAACATTTGCTATAATAGCATCTGCCATTCTTTATAAAGAATGGGCTAAGTTAAATGCAAAAGACGCTTTAGGATCCGTCTGTGGTTTTTTAACTATAATAATTGGTGTTTTCTTATTGCATGCTTTTAAAGATATAAAATTTTCTTTTCAAGATCTGTATGGATCTGTTACAATATCAAAAAACTTAACAGATGGTGAAGCTAATGTACTTATAACTGAACTTGAAAGTGATGAAGAAAATGACTCCAATATCTCGAATAATTATTTAACAAGCAAATTTTAAGTTTTTGTTGAATCAGTTAGGAATTAGTCAATTTTTAATATTTTTATACTTTTGAAATGGTATCAGTTTATAATTTATTCCCTATTTATAAGATAAAAATATTTTTGTGAATAAAGTTTTTTTAACCATCCACGCTCAGTTTCTATTTACTTTATTGTACAGTTTTGAAAAGGAAAGTAATTGCATTAAGTGTATACATTAGTGTCTTTTATTTATTTCTCACATATTTTATGGTTTTTTTTATTTCTGATTTTTACATATTGTAAATTTTTTTAAATGTTAAAGACAGATTATCGTTTGTATACAGAAAATTTTTTTGGTTTTGTTTTTTAATTTTTTATTGTTTACAGTTACAATTTAATAGGTTATTTAGTTTTAAAACAAAATAATTTTTGTATATTTTTTATGGAACTCATATCATGGAATAGATTTTATTACAATTGAAAAGTTTGATAACACAATGTAATATGTGTATTTAAAATATATTTATCTAATTTTTTGTTTAGGTAACTGATGTATAGAAAATGAATTTCTTTTTTTTTTATATTTCATTGATGTTGTTATTAGCTGGTACGTAAAATGACTTGTAGTTATAATATATCAGCATGTTGTTCAAGTTGTTTACTTAAGCTGTAATATAATAAGTGCCTAATTTTTAGAAGAAAGCAACCAGCAATGTTTTTCTGGTGTCAAGTTCAAGTCTATTCCACCCAATCATTTATACAATAGGTTAAAAAAGCCACTTGTTATTGGCTATTTAGGTAATATTATTCGCTTTCAAGAAAATTCTTTAGAAGGCATGATGAACTTGATTCAAATTAATGCAGATGGTATGCATATGCAGGTTCAACTTACAAAAGATAACCAACTGATTTTATTTGGCGATGACAACTTTTATGTAAGACTTTTAACAATTTATTATATTACGACTTAAGAATAACAAGCTCCTATGTTTTCTGTTACAAAAATATAATGACTAAATTTATAAAAATATCTTTTTTCCATAAAATCAAAAGTTATTTATAAAAGGAATCATTTTAAAAGAATGATTTTTTATTAACCTTGCAATTCATTTATTTTAACTGAAATTTTTATTGTAACAATCAATGAATAAAACACCAAAACCTTAAAAGTTAGACAGTATAGTTGTCTGACAATGCTAAACATAAAAGTAAATCAAATTTCATTTGTTGGAGGAAAAAAACAGAATTTGCTAAGCATATTTTAGATAGTAATAATATTCATGGTTCTGGCTTATGCGTTAATACTGATGAGCACTCTAATTGACTGTTGCAGGGTTAAAAAGAAAATTTCTTCAACCTGTGTAATTTATGATTCCATATTCTTGAATATGATGAGAAAACTAATAAAAATCACTAGCTAGTTCAGGTTGTGAAAGTACATAAATACAATAGCTTGATCCATTTAATTTGATTGTTTGATTGATGCAGTGACATATCTTGTAGTACTGGATAAGGTTGTTTTGGATACTATATTTATTAGTGATTAGATCTAAAGGACAACAATATTTGGGTTTCAAATGTTTAAAGCTAGGAACAAGTTTCATGGATTTTGAAGTATACAATTTTGATCAGTTTATTATTTTATAAATTCTCAAAATGAGAATTTCTAAATAAATCAAGCAATTTACAAAATACAAAAGCATCTTTGTTGTTGTAGCAGTTTTATAAGTGTTTTAATATTATGTGTTTTACATTTTAATTTAAAAATATTCAGTTGTGTAAATATATTTTACATAATTTTAATTCTATAGAAATAAAAAGTTGATATTTTTTATGAGTTTAAATATTAGATTATTTGTTAATATATGGAAAAATGTTTTAACTCCAGTTGTTAAATTCTTATAACATAAAAAAACATAGAAGTTTGTTATTCTCAATTGCGAGGTAAGACATTTGTCTAATACCACACAGTTAACAAATATTCACATTTTGTTTTAATGATGCTAATATTTACTAAAGTAATGTTAACTTTCTATCTTTTTTCTAGAGATTAACCAAGGAAGATTTCTTAGTTGAAAATCTTCCTTTTTCTGAGATAGTTAAAATGAACATACAGAAAGAAATTGAGTATAAACTTTCAGGTAAATAATATAAATAGTTTAATGGATTAAAAAGTATAAAAATATATTCTTAAAAAACAGTGAAAATATTTTGATGTGTTATTATAATCAAACAGTGGTTAAGTTTCATATAAAACTGTAATGAATTCACATGCTTAAAATATTTGAATTTAAAAATAAGCTTTCCTTTGGTCAACAATAATTATGTTTTGTCCAAAAGTTAATAGGAAAAAATTTCCTATTAACTTTTGAAAATTTTCAAAATGTGGAAGATAGTTTGTCTTAAAATGTGCAAGATAGTTTGTCTTAAAAGGTAAAGTAGTTAAAGCATTGTAATTGCATTTATTGATGTTTTTATTTAAAAAACATAAGGTAAATAATATATTGAAACAATATCATCCTATTAAATATTTAATTTTATATTTTATATATTTGATGCGCTATAAGTATTTGTACTTAAAAATTATACTTGACTTAGCATTAGACCCTGTGATTTTAAATTTTTTTTTAGAAAAATTAATTGCATCAAGCGGGAATACCTTAATTAGAACAAAAAACTATAATGTGTAAATTTTGAAAGTTGCAAGTCTTTCCAATTTTATCTTATTTTCATTTTTTACATTTAATTTATTATGAAACATAAATTAAAGTGAGTTATAATTAATGAATTTTTAAAATGAGTGCTGGTGTAAAACATTTTCCCGGATATTTTTATGTATAATGAAATGTAAGTAATTTATTATTTAAATTTTATAATTTTTTATATATGTTTGGGTCCTGTAAAAATGGGTAGTTTTACATAAAAGCCATATAGTTTAATAAACTTATGTAAATCAAAACTTTAAAAAAACTTGGTTGCAACTTATTTGGGTTTAGATAGACTTTTGTGTTTAAGTTAAAAAAAAACATTTAACTTTTTAGCTTGAAAGCTTTAACTTAATGCAGAAAAAAATAAAAAAACCGCTAGAAAGTTTTGGTTTTGTTTACGTTTACGTTACGTTTACTTATCTTTAATGAATTTCTTTGTAATTCTGCTGAAAAATGGCGCCTTAAAAGCAATTTATTTATGTTGATATTTCAAACTATTTTTTAAATAATATAGCAACAAGTTAACTTTAGATTTTTTATTTTTGAGTTAACTCTTATTTTCTTATAAACTATCTACTCCAGCTTGAAGAAACTTAATATTAAAAATTGCTGTACCTACTTGGCATTTTAAATTTTTTGTTTGTTTACTTTTTACTTTAAATTGTTACTTAGGAATTGAAAATGTTGCTTTTGATTTGATAATTTGTTTATCATGTCATGTAGTTTGTATTATATTGCTACATTACATTATTTACTTTAAAATAATAATTCTAAACAATGTCAATGATTTTTTACTATTTATTTTATCCCTATATTAATTCACATGGTTTGGTTTTAAGTTTTTAAATAGTTGAAACATTTTTTATATTGACTTGAACAGGTTTTGAAGATAATGTAATTTTTAGGATTTTATTTTTTTAAGAAATTTATTCATAAATTACGACTATTTTACTTTAAATAAAAGTTATTAATTCACTAAAAAAAGATAAAAATTAAGTTTCAAAACGTCAAAAAAAACTTTTTGTAGTTTGTAAGCAATTTTTATTTTTCTGCAATTTTATAGTTCTTAAAAATAACATTGCAGATTTTTTAGTTAATTTTCAAATTGAAGTTCATAATAAATAATTTATATTTTTTGCTGTTTTTTTTTTTTACTTGAATTGCACAAAATATATTAGGATAATTTCAACCTAAATCCGCAAAAGCGTGTGTATATACAGTGTTTCACAGGAAGATGTGCAATCACATGTCTATATGATCACGCATGTACTATTTTTGCTGACTTGGCCACGGCTTTTTGATAATTTGAAAATTTTTGCGCATTTCAAAAATGGCGCGTAAAAATGAAATAAGCTAATTAAAAACGAAAACAGAAACCATAAACTGGAAAAAGAAACCTTACCTAAGAGAAAATAAACAAAAGTAAAAGAGTAAGCTATAAACCAAATTTTTATCTTTTAAGTTTAGAAGCCTTTTTTTTTTTTTTTTTTTTTTTAAGGATGCGTTGTTTATATATGCCAATATAAAGAAAGAACAATTTTTAACTTAAGTTTAAAAAATGTATTACAAAAATTGTACGTTTTTTCACAATACGGCAAGGGATCAAGTCATTTTTTATTTATTTTGACAATATATTTATAAAAAAGTTTATATCGCAAGTTGGTAAAAATTCATTAATAGCAATAAATAAAATATAGGGCTGCATTCTCAACCATTAGTAGATTGTTCATCTTTTTTGCTAAAATTTTCTACTTGTTCATCTGAATACGATAATTGCATTTTAGTGGATTTTGTCATTTTCAATATATTTTTCTTCTGAGCTCAATAGTTCACTCTCTGATAAACTATTGTCACTTTCGACTGTCTCAACAGAAGATTCATTGATTTTTATTTGATTTTTGGTGATGTTAATTTCTGTTTTGCATGAATGTTGTTTAAGTTTCAATGTAGTTTTTAAATAATTTTTATATTTATATTTTATATTTAAATAATTAAATAAATTTTAATTGTCCAGACAGCATAATCAACTTTACGACTTAATTAAATTACGAGGTAATTACTTGTTTCATAACATTGTTATTCTATAAATAAAAATTAGTAATAAGTTAATCAAACATTAGTACAAATGACTTTTTTTTATTTTACATTAAAAATTAGTTTAAAAATATATTATAGTAAAAACATATTAATTCAAAGTTAGCTTGCCTAAAAGTTATTATGGAAATATGCTCCCTTATTTTAAAAGTATTGTCAATTTCTTAAAAAAAAAAAGTCCTCCAAAAAAAGTTGGGAACCATTTGCCTCCATACCCGGGTGTCGTCTGCTCTGCTGTTAAAAGATAATTCAGCACACTGATTGCTATTCTTTCTGATAAAAGACCTTGAATGAAGCATAGTACCATGCAAGCATGGTTCAAATTTGTATTCAAATTGTATCAAATTTTGTAAATAGAAATAACAGGTATCCTACAAGTAAGAAAAAAACAGTAAAAAAAAGAATAAATCTTAAATTTTAACTAAGTGGTTTATATCAAACGGCATTGAATATTTACATAAAATTGTATGCTATAAACCCCACGCCAGCCTATTTATTGCTGTTATAACTTACTGCTATTACAAACTATGTAAATATTAAAAACTTCGTTTATAAATCAGTCTATTAAACGAAACACTTCTATATTTATAGCTTACTTTTTTACTTTGTTTATTTTCTCTTATGTTAAGATTTATTTTCTTTTTTTCAGTTTATGGTTTTTGTTATCATTTTTGTTTAGTTTGCTCTCGTTTTTAAGTGCCATTTTTAAAATGTGCGAAAATTATCTAACTATTTAAAAGTCGTGGCAATACAAAAGTATTACACGCGTGGTCATATAAAGACGTGCGATCGCACGTCTTCCTGCGAAACACTGATATATACACTCTGAGGTACCACTTTCCCACTTCTTCTTACCAGTTTATTAATTTTGAACTTTTTTTTCACTTTATTTTATGTTTTTTTCAATTTATTTTATACTCTTTACTTTACCTTTACTGTTACAATCTTTTACAATTTTCTATTAAAACTGTTAGAACGAATACAGGAAACAGTAGAAACATTTAACAAACTTTTACTAGTTCATAATCGAAACAATCGTCTTTACTGGAACAAATAAATTTAAATTGAACAAATGAGGTAGCAAAATGTTAGAATCACACGTTAAAAAATTATATTTTGTTAATACTTAAAATCAAAATATTTCTTTCATCTAGATTCTACAACGATTAAAAAAATATATGGCAGTACCGTAAAAGTTCCATTATTATCGACTGTTTTAAATTCCATTAAAGGAAATAATAAGTTAATCTATATTGAGGTAATTGATATATTTTTACAGAATGTTAATTACACTATTGATCTTGTACTTATCTACAATACTTGTGATAATCTAAATGTTTAATCTGTTATACTTTTTATTTTATTTTTTCCAGCTTGTTCCTAATCATATACCTCCTCAAAATCCTTTGGATAGGCACAGAGCAGTCGAAGTTGCAAAGTTAGTCGGGAACTTAGTTAAACAATTACAACTCGAAAATGATGTTTTTATTGTTTCAAAGGATCCATTTAAAATTTATGCTCTTAGCTACTATCATCCACAACTTCAGTTTGGATGGTGGCCTGATGTTAAAATGTTTGATAATATTACTGCTTATAAAATGAAAGAAGAATACAATGATATACCTGTGATATACGAGTCAAATTGTTTTGATGGTACTGAAAACGGGTTTCTGTTTGCTAAGTATCTTTTAACATCTGGTATGTTAGCGAAATCAATAAATAGCACGTTAATTGATTTACCTTTAGAGATATATAGCAATATGACTTACTTTTCTAACAAAATAACTGAGACAAATATTGTTCCAATACTGCAAAGTAATTACGGTCAAGGAACTAGTATTGGGCTGTTTGGAGTATTCTCTGATAAGTCTGCGTTATATTCACCAGAAGACGACTTAAAGTTCATAAGGTCTTTAACGGATAATGGACTCACACGTTTTATTACAAATGACGTTAACCGCGTGAAAATTGCTCTTCAGAGAATTGTTTTAGAATCCAGTAGTACTAGTTTGAATTCACCTCGATGGCCCATTTTATTGGGTTTGTTTATATCATTTTTATGTTTATAATAATAATTTTTAAAATGATTTTGATGATGTAAACATAGGGAACAAAACGTTAATCTTTTATTTTTAATATTCTTGTTTGTACTAAAAAAATGTTGATGCTATTATATGTGGCTAAATTTAATATTTTCAGTATCTTTTTATCAATGAAGCTTTTTTCTATATTTATTTTTTAGAGATTTTGTATATAATATATTTGTATATTATTTAACTTAATTATATTTGGTAGGCCATTTCATTAATTTGACTTTTTTTAAATATTTTTATTTAGACATTATTATTGTACATTTTTGTAAATATAGTTTATTTTTTCATCTAAATCATAAATATCTAAGACTTTTTTCGTATAACAAAAATATTAACAGTTTCAACGTCGTTTTTAATACTTGACATTTTAAATTGCCACATGCGGTCTAAAAGAACTTTAATGTCAGTTCCTGACATTTTATCTTTCTTAGTAAATCATTTCAAAAATGTTTTTGTTATTGCGACTAAAATAAAATTGTCTCTTTCTAAACTAATTGCAATCAGAAAATATAAAAATAATGATTTTTTCAATCAAAATAAAAATTGAAGTACTCTTTTGCAAGTTTGAAAAAAGTATTTAATTTGTCATCAAAAAAATAGTGTATTGAACGATAGGCAAGGTTAACTATCATCAGAGAAAAATTAAAAGGATGAATCGTTTTTATCAACATTTCTTTTTTATCAAAAAGATTTTTATCATCTTTTTCTGATTATACAATAAACTTTATCTGATTTTCGTATAAACGTCGCAGGTATGAATGCTCACAACCTTTTCATAGAATCCTTACAAGAACCTTTCTCAAAAATTACATCAAATATATACCATGATCTGCTTTTTAATAAACTACGTACGTATCATAAAGTACGTACGCTCGGAGGAGAAGGGGGGATCTGCAAATGGCGTATATGAGATTGGGGGAGTGGGTCAATTAAAAAAAAAGTAAAGAGATAATAAATTTTAAAGAATATTATAAAATGTTGGGTAGGCATAGGTACTTTGGGGAGGTGAAGGGTACTCAAAATAACGCATTGCGGGATGGGAGTGGAGGTTCGAAATAAAGGCGTACGTACCGTTACGGGCGACCCCTAAAAGGATTTTAAAAACTTACAAAATGTGTTTCTGTAATCAACAAAAGTTGTTAATTAACTATTGCAAAACAAAACTTAGTATTGTCTGTATTGATTATAAATTTATAATAATTTATCAAAATTTATAATATTTTTGATATGAAACATATTCATATCAAAAATAAAAAATAAAGTTTCATATCAAAAAATAAACTTTTACGGGGTTCAAGATCTGGCTTATAAGTGGATTCAAACCTTTATTACAGAAAAGAGTATGCTATGGTGTAAGTTTCAGGGTCTTTCACAGGGAAAATAATAATGATAGATATGTATTTACTTATAAATCAGATTTTGAATCCCGTAAAAGTCGATTTTGAAAGTAAAATACAGTTATCAACAGTATTAAACGCTATTTTTTTATTTATTTTTTTTACATCTTCGCTTCCAACAAGGGTGCAAGCAACCACTATAAGAGTTGAAAGTTACTGGAAGAGAAAAGATGAAGTTTGTAGAGCAAGATAACGATTGACAGACGACTTAAAAGATTGCAAATTATATGAATCAGGAAAGCAAGATGAAGAGAGCGAATTCCAAAGAACTGATTTTTGAGGGAAAAAAATAGACAAATAAGAGCTTTTAGAGCAATTAGAAACAGTCACAGTAAAAGGATGAGACTTAATTGAATGACAAATAACATGAGAATGAATTTTAGCAGATGTCACAAGAGTCGCTGGCTTATTAGAGCAGTGTCCATTGTAATATTTGTACAAAAGAGAAAAAAAAGCAATGTTACGACGATGTGATAATAATTTTAAGTTGGCTGCAAGAGCAGGTCAAATTATGTTTACAATGCGTTTTTGCACCTTTGCCTAACAGAGAAAGGACATCATTAGAAGATCCGTCCCAGATGTAGCAACAGTATTCCAGACAAGGACGGATTTGAGATTTATAGAGATAAAGAATAGAATCCGGAGTAAGTATCGAGCACGATAAAGAGATGCAATCTTAGCAGATGCTAATTTTGCAATGGATTTGATATACGGTTTCCAAGAAAGATCAGAAGTAAGAGTTAACCCTAGAAGATAAAGGGTTGATGACTCGTCAAGTATATCACCGTTCATAAATATAGGAAGATCTAAATTATTGCGATAACAATTGGCTGAAAAAAATTCGGTTTTATCTGAATTAAAGTTCACCAGCCACTATGAGCCCCATGATGTAGCAGAAGTGAGATCCTTTTCTAGCTCAAATGCCCTCTTCAAGCAATCAGAGACTGTAGGCTTCTTATCAAGACAAGAGTAAATGGCAGTATCACCAGCGAACAATGCCATCTTAGATATGAGAATATCTGGAAGATCGCTGATGTAAATCAAAAAGAGTATAGAGCCAAGGATTGAACCTTGAGGAAACCCTATAGTTACAGGATATGAAGAAGAGTGCTGTTCATTGAGGACAACTTTTATACTATGATTGGGAAGGAAGAAAAGGACTTGATAATCTTGAAGATGTCACCGGATACACAGTAAGAAGAAAGCTTATGGAGAAAACCAACATGCCAAACTTTATCAAAAGCTTTAGTCAAGAGCAAAATGTTAAGAGCAATAGCCTTAACCTCTCCACCATTATCTAATGCACGATAAAACCTATTGTTTATTTCTGTTAGCAAATTAGCTGTAGAACAAAATGATTGAAATCCATATTGATGATCAGAAAGTAAGTTATTAGATTCAAGATGAGAAATTAAGCGTTTGTTAAGCAAAGATTCAAAAGCCTTGCTTATGTTAAGAAGAAGACTAATGGGACGGTAGTTAGACGAGTCAGATCGTTCTCCAGAATTTTTGAAAATAGGGATAACAAATGCCGCTTTTCAGCATGCCGGAATGCAAGACTCTGATAAGCACTTGTTAAATAGTTTTGAAAGTATAGACGACAGCTCCGGAGAACACTTCTGCAAGACTACGGCAGGTTTTAATTAGGAAATCACTTTTGATACAGAAGCTGGAGTGATACGAATGTCAAACAATAGATCAACATGTTTGACGGCTATATCAGGTAGAACTCAACTAGTAGAATCAAGAGATGATATTGATGAAAAGTTCTTAGCAAACAATTCAGCTTTGTCTTTAGGTGAGATGACAAAGTCTGAACCGTACAAGAGAGGCGGAATTACAAATTTTCCCTTATTATTGATACTGCTAAAAATTCTCCAGAAGTCACGAAAGCCTAATTTTTGTGATGAAATACGAGATTTCATGACCTGAGAATAGCGAGTTTTGGCGTCAGACAAAATCTATCACCTTACAATTAGAAGTAGTATGCTGTCCTGGTATCATATTAAGCCTTTTAAATAAAATAAAAATAGGCTTTAATTCTAGTTTTTATGATTAGGTAACTCATCATCACTCATAACTCATGATCTCCAGTGACTTTAATCACCTTTCTCTTTGTTCTACATCGCTCTCTTTTATCTCAAGACCCTTTTCTGTTGAAAACGTTATTTTTTATCATTTTGATCAAGATCTTTTTGTTTAGCCTTCAGCCAATATTTTTGTTGTTGGTGAATTTAATGCTCATCACACTGAATGGCTTGGTTCTAGTTTCAGTTTTCAAAATTTTTAATTTCTTAATCTCTAACACAAACAAGCAAATTTCTAACTCGCTTTCCAGACAACCTAAATCATTTACCTTCTCTACTCAAATTATGTTTTGTTTCTGATCCTAGTCAGTGCTCTTTTTCTCCACATTCACCCTTAGGTGCTTTTGATCATTTGATTTTTCTTGAACTATTATCTCATTCTTCTTTATCATCAGAATCCCCCTACAATCGCACCTCTTACAATTATCTTAAATCTGACTGGGACTCTTTCCCTGATTTTTTTTGTGATGGTCCTTTGTAGAAATATTTCGTTTTCCCGCTGAAAAATGTGCTTCTTATATAACTTCTTGGATTTAAGCTAGCATGGAATCTTTTGTTCTCTCTCAACGATTACAAGTCAAGACTCACTCTTCTCCATTGTTTTCATCTCATTGTAACCATTACTTCCATATCTATCAGCAAAACAATTCTTCGGAAAATAGACGTTTGTTTACTACTGCTAGAAACTATCTAAAAAAATTTTGTCTAACACCTGAGCCCGCTATTCTCAGGTCACAAATGCTTGTATTTCTTCTCAAAAATCAGACTTCAGAGACTTCTCGAGAATCTTTAACAGTGTCTATAGTAGAAGCAAATCTGTCATTCCACCTCTCTTGCATGGTTTAGACTTTGTCACAATACCTAAAGACAAATTTGTTAATTTGTATAAACCAAGGGTTGGCAATCTTTTAAGACGGAAGAGACAATTTTTACAATTTATAAATATTTTTAAAGAGCTACTAACATCTTGTTTTCAATATTATAATAGTATTTGTGCATGGAGCTGGAGAGCCGCATTTTAACATCAAAATTTTAACATCATATTTGGCTTGCGAGCAGGTTGCCGACCACTGGTATAAACATTTAAATAATATAATGTACTTTTTTTTATTTTTTTTATTTTTATAAGTTGATTAAGGTGTCCCAAGAAGTCCTTACGGTCTTATCACAGTGCATCCTTCCCAACCGATGTCGCAAAACTTGCCCAGAGGTGGGGTTTGAATCATGGATCTTGCGTTTCTGAGGCAAGTGCGCTACCACTGCGCCACGGCTACTTATATAAATCTTTATTTGTTTTCACAGTAGACCAACATAAATGTTTTCACAGTAGACCAACATAAATGTTTTCACAGTAGACCAACATAAATGTTTTCACAGTAGACCAACAAGCATAAATTTTGAAAAAAGCAATAGTGTTACGAGTAAACATCTAGTGTTTTCTTATTTAGTTCTGTATGTGTGTGGTATTTTTAAAGCACTTTTTTAAACACTGTTTAAAAAAGTAGAAATATAGTCATTAAAATACTGAAGGTATTTTAGTGACTATATTTAGTATGTAACGCAAGACTACAAACGCTGCCTAATTTTCCTTTTTTTTAGTATCTAATTTTAATGAAATAAAGTAACGTTGTC